CCCTGCTGTCTCCAAGTTCATAGAGTCCTAGAGTTGGAAGAGACCCCCCAGGGCCAGTCCAACCCATGCAGGAACTCACAGTCAAAGCACCCCCAACAGATAGCTATGCAGCTTCTGTTTGAAAACCTCCAAAGAAGAAGACTCCACCACCCTCCGAGGGACTGTGTAATCCAATTTCAAACAGCTCTCACCATCAAGACGTTCTTTGTAATGTTGAGGTGGATTTTCTTTTCCTATAGTTTGAATCCATTGCTCTGTGTCCTGTTCTCTGGAGCAACAGAAGACAAACTTGCTCCATCCTCAACATCCTCTCTTAAAATATTTAAGTATGGCTGTCATGTCTTAACTTCCTCTTCCCTAGGGTAAACATACCCAAATCCCTAAGCCACTCCTCAGAGACTAGTAGATGGGGCAATGGAGTCAAACTCCAGGAAAAGAGATTTCACCTAAACATTAGGAAGAAGTTCCTGACGGCAAGAGCTCTTTGACAGTGGAATACGCTCCCTCGGAGTATGATGGAGTCTCCTTCTTGGAGGCTTTTAAACAGGATTTTATGGCCATCTATTGGGGATGCTTTGATTGTGTCTTCCTGCATGGCAGGGGGTTGGATTGGATGGTCCTTGAGGTCTCTTTCAATTCTATGATTCCTTCACCTGTCACAGAGCTTGGAAAAATTACCTACATGCACTATAATGCCCAGAATCCCCCAGCAGGGGTTAGCTACAATAGCCTGGCCATTGCTAATTGTGGGATCCGGAGAGTTGTATTTCAAAAAGGTGTGTTCTCTAGTTTCTGATCTGCTGCTTGAAGCAGTTGCCTCACTCTGCCAGTAGAACTGATATTGAAGCAGTCATTCCCTGCCATTTCAATTAAAAATGTCAGACATTAAGTGATATAAAGGTATTTTCCAAGTTTTGGAGGTGGGCCAGATTTCCCCAACCTAGCGTTCTCCAGGCGTCTTTGACTACAGTGTCCCCTCCTGACAAGTCAGCACGTCCAATTGCTGACAGTGATGATGGGCATTGTAGTCCCAGCACATCTGGAAGGCAACTAGTTGGGGAGATGCTGATCTCTGTCTGGGAAAAGATGTCCTCTTATGTAGCATGTGGGGCTATGATAGCGGGATCAAGAGAGCCAGTGTGGTGTAGTATGGTAATTTGAGCATTGGACTATGGAGATCAGAGTTTCAATCCCTGCTTGCCCATGGAAACCCACTGGGTGACCTTGGGCAAGTCACACTCTCTCAACCTCAGAGGCAAAGGCAACTAAAAAAAAAACTTGCCAAGAAAGCCTGTGATAGGGTTCCTATTAGGTGGAAACTGAAGGCACACAACAATAAAAAGAAATTGGTGGATCTGCCATAACAGATGCTGGCGAAACGTCAGAAAGAAACTCTTCTAGAACATGGCCACACAGCCTGAAAAACCCACTAAAAACAATTGGTGGATCAATCTTTTATCTAGTCCCACAGCCACAAACTACATGTCTTTAAAGCTCTATCTGCACTGCAGAAATAATCCAGTTTGAGATTGATTTATCTGCCCTGGCTCAGTGCTATGGAATTCTGGGAGATGTAGTGTTGTGAGTCATTTAGCCTTCTCTTTCAGAGAGCTCTGGTGCCATACCAAACTACAGTTCCCAGGACTCCATAGCATTGAGCCATGGCAATTAAAGTAGTGTCAGACTGGATTATTTCTGCAGTGTGGATGCAGCCTAAGAGGAAATCCCATAGGATAACTACCCAGTTTAATCCCAAGATCCAGAGCAGGGGTGGGCAGCTGTGATGGGTTGGGGGCCTGTTTTCTGCCCCAGCATCTTGTGGAGGGCACCTGAATTGCCATAATGCCCTCAAACCCTGGGAGTGTTCATGAATCTTAGTATCGCAACAGTTAGAAGGGGCAGCAAGGACCACCCAGCCCAACCTGCCATGTAGAAATACATAGCCCCAATACAATGCCCCTCCAAGCTGCGTTTAAAGACCTCCAAAGGAGAGTCCACCACCCTCGGAGGCCATCTTATTTCCCTGTCAAAGAGATCTTGTTATCATCATCTTTATGTGTAGGAGGGATCTTTTGTACTTTGAATCCATTAGTCCATGTTCTGGTCTCTGGAGCAAAAGAAAACAAGATCACTCCATCCTCTACATGACATGATGATTTCACAGAAATAATGATGGTGTAGTGGTTTGAGTG